GCAGTGATGTATTTCCTCCCTGCTCACTGTTATGGGTGGAGTCAGACTCCTGGTCTATACCTCCCACCCAGGCAGCGTTCTAAAATTTACATCTCAGGACACTCTGGGTCTGTCCTGCCTCCCATAGCTTCAGCTAGAAGTCTCTGCACCTCCTCCACCAGTAACAGTGTATATACTATACATACTAGGGATCTACCCTTATATTGGCGGCTGAAAATAGTGGTATAGGTATTTTGCTGATAGGAAAAAAGGTGCCCATAATAGCCACCGAAAACACGATTTTACCCACGGGTTTGCTGTGATTTTAGCCGCAATTTCGCCCAGGATTTTGCTGCGATTTTACCTGCAAGTTTGCTGTATTTTTTACCCGCCATTTTGCCACAATTTTACTCGCTATTTTGCATCGACTTTGCCATGATTTTACCTGGAATTTTGCCATGATTTTACTGTCAATTTTCCACGATACTATCAGGGATTTTGCAGCTATTTTACCAGGAATTTTTCTGTGATTTTGCCATGATTTCACCCGTGATTTTGCCATAATTTCACCCGTGATCTTGCCACAATTTTACCCATGAGTTTGCCACAAATTTACCTGCAATTTTGCCACGATTTTATCTGTGATCTTGCCATGATTTTACCCGTGATTTTGCCAAAATTTTACCCTTGATTTTGCCACTTTTTACCCGGAATTTCGTCACGATTTTACCCGTGATTTTTCCACAATTTTACCCTTGATTTTGCCACATTTTTACCCGGAATATCGCCGCGACTTTACCTGTGATTTTGCCTTGATTTTACCACATTTAGGGTGCATTTTTCATAGGTCATGTGACTCAAAAAAATATCAAAAAATGACATCAAAACCATAGCACGTGTGTATTTTTTAACATGTTTTTAATGCATTTTAGGCCTGTTCACACTAATGCAGTTTGCGTTTTGGCCGCTTTGCAGTGTGTTTTTGCACACACTTTTTAATGCGTTTTGAAAATGTTTTTAATTGCATAAAAAAAACACACACACATGCTGCGGTCTTGATGTGTTTTTCATTGAAATGAAAACACACCCTAAACGTGGTACAATTGTGGTTAATTGTGGGCCAAATTGTGGGTAAAATCACAGCAAGATTGAAGGGTAAAATTGCAGCAAAATTGCGACAAAATTCAAGCTTAAATTCCAGGTAAAATTGCGGCAAAATCGCAGGTACAATCATGGCAAAAGGGTAAAATCTCAGCAAAATTCCAGGTAAAATCGGGGTTATAATCACAGTAAAATTTCAGGTAAAAATGTGGGTAAAATTGTTGCAAAATCATCTGTTATATCATGGCAAAATCATGGGTAAAAATGTGGCAAAATTGCAGGTAAATTCATGGGCAAAATCACTGCAAAATCCTGCGTAAAATCGCTGCAAAATCCTGTGTAAAATCGCTGCAAAATCCTGGGTAAAATCAAGGCAAAACATCAGGAAACATTGAATTGAATGGCCCCTGAACATGCAATCGCGTGTTTTCACATTTTCACAGTATGTTTTAAATCACGGACTGAATCGCAATGATTCTGCTAGCAATGTGAAAGGCACTCGTGTGAATGGATCCTTAAGTCTCGGTGCTTTGTTTCTGTTTTGTTGTCGCCGGGGATTGATCACATAGAAGCATACAAGTAGCAACGGCTGTTATGCAGGCCATAGATGGGTCGTTTATCGGCCCCATTAGTGGGGCCAGCCTATCGGACATTTTTTGCAGATTTTCTCATTTAGTTTTATCAGTCATGATGGAAAATCCTCAAAAAACGTCCGTTTTTCGTGGATATTGGTGGCAGCATCGGCAACGGGGCCAACCGATTTTTCGTTTTATCAGCCAAAAATGCAGCCGATAAACGGCCCGCCTATGGCCTGCCTTAGAAAAATAGGGAGAAGAATTCTAATGTTTAATTTCAGCAGACAACAAGGGGTAAACAATCTAATTCTGGGCATGTGGCCATATTTATTCTGGGATTAAAAAACGAATGTCAGGGAAATTGGTTCCTTTTCTGTTGTGACTGGAGGGTGAGGATAGCAGTGGCAGCTGGGAAATGTGTAGGCATGTTTTCTGTTGAAGTGGGAGACTATACATTCAACATGTACAGGCCTAGTGTGCCCACCCACATTCACTACAATTCCCAAAGGTTGATGGAAAGTGTAGTTTCCTGAGAGGAGAGGACATGATGTAATCCCTGCTGTTACACTTCCTCCTTGGCAGAGCAGATGATGTTATTTTTTGAATTACAGAGATGACTTCCTGAAAATTCAATTAGACTTTTCTCCTCAATGGTAAGGAATTTCACAAATGTACTAACTGTTTATAGTTTTGTGCAGGGTGGTGTACTAATGGGTGATTTCTTTGCCTATCCCGGAGTTCTTCTAATTGAAGAAATTGAAGTTAGAAGCTGATCGTCTACTATGCACAGCTACACCAGATTCAGAGTACTCCATTTTTAGTAAATCTCCCCCATTGTCTCTCAAACAATACACTACAATTTTTATTACAATATAAAACCTGTCTTTTACTGTTTGCTGTCTGTTTATCCAGTGCTCACATGCTGTCCTAATGTTAGCCATTTTCTAACAAATACATACCTAAAATCAGTGTTGATTGACACTGTCCCTGAAAATTGTACTGTAGCGTAACACCACATACAACTTAGAGGCATCTCCCAATCATGTAATTTAGATGACTAATGTTTTTCCCATGTTGTACTCAAAGCTGTATTAAAAGGCTTCTCTCCCAAATAAATGGTATTTTTAAAGTTTTTGCTTTGTCCCACGTACCCAGCTCCCCATGCCCTTTTTTGACAATAGCTTACCTATTAGCTTTGTAAATGTACAGATTGTAGTATCAAGATTCGCCTCCCATAGACATCAATAGTATGTGCTATTAAGTTTGGGTTTTAACGATTTCAAGCAGCATTCAACAACTTTCTACCCAAGTGAACTAAACCTGGGAAGATTCACTCTTAGTTAGTCTGAATGAGGTTATCATAAAGAGAATGCTGGACATTTAACCAGAAGGTGATTATATTGCTGTGATTGTGTATAAGCAAAGAAAACTAGCATTGTGTTTATGAAGAAGTATAATTTCATTGAAAAAATGTTATTCTACAGCTTTTTCTTTCCTTTTTCAATGTCTGTTACTAATGTAGCCAGGTGCTGACTATATCATTATGCCATCCAGGGACATTTACAGATGAGACTATGATTAATTCTTTTTTCCCCTAGTGCCCAGTACTGGGACTGCTACATCACTTCTTGTTAGAAGAGTGGATCCAGTTATTCAGACAGTAGAGAATCCTGGGACCTGTAGTCATAATGTATTTCTGAATGCTGATTGAACTACAACTACAAGCTGGGGAACCAAAAGGTTACTGGGAGAGCAGATATATTCTATGGAATGGAACTGGTTCATGCTCTTGGTGGAAGATTCAGAAAGGAACACAGGGGGGACTGCCGTTCTCCTCCAGAGATAGATTGCTGTCTACTACTATGGGACTCTGCATACTAGCTCAGCACAGCGGTGTCGCCAGTCACCACACTGGGATTGCATCAGCCTCTCTGCATGGGAACTGTCCCTATCCAGTTTTCAGCCAGCCATCTCTGCTTGCAAATATGGAAAAATCATCCTGCTCTTCAATGTTAATCCCTAACCTAAGCTGCTCACACCCACTCCTTATACCAATAAGTGAAACACAAATAAATAACTAAATGGTGTAGCGCTAATAAATAACTACATAAATGTGCAAAACATGACAAAATGAGATATATATGAAATAAATGAATAACAAGTGGCACACAAAACAAGTGAATAATACCACAAAAACCTGTGAGGTGAATACACAGGCAAAACCCCCCTATCCCCAACTGGGGGATCAAAACACAAATAGGATAATCAGTGAATAGAGAGTGACTCCCTTCTCTAGGGAAAACAATATATATATATATATATATATATAAGTGCAACCCTAATGGGGTAAACCTAGTACAAAGTGATGTGTGTTAAAAAACACTTGACCACAGCAAAACAAACAATAAACAATATGTGATAAATAAGTGATGTTCAGTCCATAAAACAAGTCCACTCTGACAAACTCATGTGAATACGAATGAAAATGCAAATCGAGCACGTGATGAAAGTGAAACGTGCCATCATGATGAAAAATCCCTAAATGGCCTGAGTGCCCCCTCACCTCCTCACAGTGACCACACGGGCCAGCTCGCTTAATGGATCAAGCACGATCCTCACAGGAACTACCGCGTCACTAGAAAGATGACCGCACTCGATAACATCAGTAGCACCAATATTCCTCCTGAGCTCCCTCCAACCACTGGCACTCTGACAAACTCAGTGGGAATACGATATGAAATGCATAATCTTGCAATGCTGCTCACATCAGAGGATCATAATAGAAACAAAAAAGATCCTCCATAGTGTAAATCAGTAATTTATTAGAGTAAAAACACCAAAGAATGCCCACTCACATAGTAATGAATTCCAGTCAGCCTTTCACCTCATGTAATGGGTGTACTGCATGATTTCCTGGTGTCCCAATATGGAGCCTGCGCTGGAAATGATGTCACCACGCACTGGAAGTTCTGTCACAGCTTACCAACGCGTTACGTTGTGGTAATCATGTGACTTCTTCAGGGTATTCGCTCATAGTGACATGGAAGCCTTATATAGGCGGCCTGGGCATCAATCTTCATAGAAGACAACCCCCATTTTCTCGGAGTTTGGTGCAATGTAAACACTACTGGCATGGATCTATATTTGTCACTTGATCCCAGGGGTGGACTGACCATTCGAGCACTCGGGCACTGCCCGAGGGCCCGGGGTCAGTAGGGGGCCCCATGAAATGTCCCTGGTACCAGGGGCGGCCTGACAACTCATGGGGCCCCCTGGCAATAGGGGATCATGGGGCCCCTGTGTCCTCACCAACACCCAAAAAAGCCTATGAAAAAGCCAATGAAAGGTACCAGGGGCATCTCATGGGGCCCACTACTGACCCTGGGCCTTCGGGCAGTGCCCGAGTGTTCCAATGGTCAGTCTGACCTTGCCTGGTACCTTTTTTATAGGCTTTTTTGAGTGTGGGCAAGGACACAGGGGCCCCATGATCCCCTATTGCCCGGGGGCCCCATGAGTTGTCAGTCCCCCCTGCTTGATCCGCTGCCACTAAAAAACAGCTGCATATATAAATAAATGGGGGAATATATTCTGATAATACTCTATATACCAGTACTCCATATAATGCAAAAAACAGCATTATATATTAACAGTATACTCGCATTCCATAATGGCATTACAGACCCTATTAAAATACCCTCTAAAACCCTATCCACATATTAAATAAACTTTATTAATAAAAAGTAGTTATTTGAGAAATATTATTAAATATAGAGTAAATAATCATTAAAAATAAATAAATATAAAAACAAATTACAATAATACTTTTCGACCCGTCTATGGCCGGCAATAGTCATTGTTATTGAAATTAGGCTGTCTATGCCAATATACCATGTATGCCAAAGCATATATATATATATATATATATATATATTATATTGCCAAAAGTATTTTGACACCCCTCAAAATCATTGGATTCAGGTGTTCCAATCACCTCCATGGCCACAGGTGTATGAAATCAAGCACCTAGGCATCCAGATTGCTTCTACAAAAAAGAATGTGTCGCTCTCAGGAGCTTAGTGAATCCAAGTGTTGTACTGTGATAGGTTGCCACCTGTGCAATAAGTCCATCCTTATTTTCTTGCTACGTGCTACTTGCTACTAAATTTCCTTGATACTAAATATTCTACGGTCAACTGTCTGCAGAGTCAATAGCTAAAAACCTCTAAACTTCATGTGGCCTTCAGATTAGCACAACTACAGTACATAGAGAGCTTCATGGAAGGGGTTTCCATGGCCGAACAGCTGCATCTAAGCCTTACATCACCAAGTGCAATGCAAAGTGTTGGATGTAGTGGTGTAAAGCACACCGCCACTGGACTCTAGAGCAGTGGAGATGTGTTCTCTGGAGTGAAAAATTATGCTTTATTGTCTAGCAATCCAATGGACGTGTCTGGGTTTGGCAGTTGCCAGGAGAACAGTACTTGCCTGACTGCATTGTGCCAAGTGTAAAGTTTGGTGGAGGGGGGTTGTTTTTCAGGGGTTGGGCTTGGTCCCTTTGTTCTAGTGAAGGGAACACTTAAGGCGTCAGCACACCGAGAAATTTTGGACAATTTCATGCTCCCAAATTGGTGGGAACATTTTGGGGATGGCCCCTTCCTGTTCCAACATGACTGCTCACCAGTGCACAATGCAAGGTCCATAAAGACATGGAAGAGCGACTTTTGGGTGGAGGAACTTTACGCCTTCGCCTTCACAGAGTCCTGACCTCAATCCGATAGAACATCTTTGTGATGAATTACAGCGGAGACTACGAGCCAGGCCTTCTCGTCCAACATCAGTGCCTGACCTCACAAATGCATTTCTGGAAGAATGGTCAAAAATTCCCATAGACACACTCCTAAACCTTGTGGACAGCCTTCCCAGAAGAGTTGAAGCTGTTATAGCTGCAAAGGGTGGGCCAACTCAATATTGAACCCTACAGACTAAAACTTGGATGCCATTAAAGTTTGTGTAAAGGCAGGTGTCCCAATACTTTTGGCAATATAGTGTGTGTTTATATATATATATATATATATATATATATATATATATATATATATGTATAATTCTTTGCACTTCCTGTTGTGACGCTGGTGGCCTAGAGGGAGCTGATAAGTCAACAAGCCTTTTCTTTGCCCTCTTGCTGCTGGTGTTGCAGTAACATCTTTATAATGTACAAGTTGTGACCATATATTCTGTTTCCCATTGCTATTTGGTTATTTCCATTTTATCAGTGTTTTACTTTTATGCGTTAATTGGAGATGTACCATCTAAACCTTCATTTTTATGGTTTACTTTTTTAAATGAGCCTAATAGAGAGTTGTTACTAAAGAATCGTATGTCTTGCATTATTATTTCATACTGTTGAAATATGTCTGAATCCAAAGTGTCAGAGGTGTCGGGAGGCTTGCAAGGTCAGGGCAACCACTGGGGACAAACATTATCAAATGGCCCCTGCAGGGGTAGTACTACACTAATTTACAGGATCACCAGTTATTATGGGGGCAGCTCTGACATGGTGAGAAAAGTCTTTATTTCTACCAAAGTGGCCACTTCTACAAAGAGACACAATACAGTGAAAGGCTTTATTAGGAAATAAAGAGGTAAGGATCACCTTTGGGTAGCTCATAGGCAATACTGTGACTAGTCCTTTGCACTCCACTTGCTTCTTGAGCACAGCTTTCAAAAGAGTAAAATGTACTATTGATGTATACCTTTTAGAAATTGATAGTATGATTATTGAAAGACAGATTCTGTTATCTTCATCTGGCGATTCTGCCAGTGACACCAGTTCTAGGGAGTCCATGTTCACACTGTAACTGTGGTGAAGCAGATTCTCATCATCTGCAAATCCCAGCTATTGTAGCCCTGAAGGATGATGGGACAGCATATTTATGCTATGGGCACACTGAGCCCTGGATCTTTCCTGGAGAGGATTGTACCAACCTGCCTGGGCCAAAGATTTGACTACTATCGCTGGAGGGCATTGCTTGAAAGATTAGAAGGAGGCTACCATTCTGTCCTTGGGCCTTGTGAGTACAGACATTCTGGTTCTTCAGAAAGCTGACTGAGGTAGAGCTGTCTGCCAAAGATTTGACTAGTATCGCTGGAGGGCATTGCTTGAAAAATTAGGAGGCAACCGTTCTGTCCTTGGGTCTTGTGAGTACAGACATTATGGATCTTGAGGACTTCATATGCTTTGCTACCCCTCTGGTGCTGTGTGTGGGTCCATGAAAGGGAATGCCAGCTGGTGTCCTGAAGAGAATTATCTGTTCAACCGCCCTCTGACATTGGGACTTTGCTCAAGGAAGTTCTTCCTCAGCTGTAATTAGTTCTATTCCTGGAGTATCTTACTAAATTCCCCAGCCCTACCCTGGTTCTCCAATTAAACACCAAAAACAGCAACACCTAGACTTATTATTGGAGACAACGAGCGAAAGTGTGTGCGTGTACCTGGCTGCAAGACTACCTTGTGCCTGGCTGCAGGGCAAAAGGAGGGAAGACCTGGAAAATACTACAGCAGCTCCTACAGGGGTAGCGCTACATGTACCTAACCTTTTATTAGAAAGCCACCTCATCTAAGGGCTTATAATCTTCAATATATTCAATTGTTGTTCTCACATTTAGATATACTTTAAATATACAGTATGACACATTAGGGTTGATTTACTAAAACTGAGAGTGCAAAATCTGTTACAGGTATGAATAAAAAATATTCAGCTTCCAGTTTTTTTGTTAAAGCTTAATTGAACAAGCTGAAGTTAGAAGTTGATTGGCTACCATGCACAGCTGCATCAGATTTTGCATTCTCCAGTTTTAGTAAATCAACCCCGGTACATCACAGATACCTAATGTGCAAATAAAAGTATAATTATTGCAATTTGTTCAAGTTTGGATGGAGTTGGGAATGCTAAAATCTCTGAACTGGTTTTTATTTATTGTCTATGTTCATTCAATTTCTGTACCAGAGACACATCAAAAAGTGAGAAAATTTTTTTTTCCATAATTAGGGGAAATCTCTCTTAGAGAGTTGTCACCATAACAGGTACCCCCATTGGAAGATATTCTCTGTATTCTTGTTCCAAAGACTACCGTAAAATATTGTATTACTCTTCAATTTCTCAAACCCTTTCTGTTTCACTGGATCAAGGCCACAACATACTTTTACTCCAGACAAAATATAAAAAACTTTTTCTTTTTTTTTCCCAAATAATAAATATGTCCGCCAATCCCACCTAACAAAAAGTGTCCAAAAATATATATATATAGTGTCCCAAATGTCTCAATTATCAAAATAAATCTCCAAACATGTAGATCATTAAATTCTTTCTTCTTCAAACTTGCAAATCCTGATGACAATTAAACCTCAAAAGAAAAAAACTTAACATAGTGTCATACCATTTAAATAATAAAACACACGTGCCACTCTCTGTGCAACATGCAAAATCTATGTACACGTGTATACTCTATAAGTGAGTATCTCTATACAAGCAAAATTTATATCAATGGACGACACTCACATAAAGTGTCAGCTACAAACAAACGTGAAAACTAAAGATATCACTCCAAACGATGTGTATCACCACACTCTGTATATAAGTGTACACCTTAGACCCAAACCCACAATCTCCACCTCATGTGCTGATGGATAATTACCCTATGCAGGAAAATATAGGGCATCACATCACTCTGGGTTGCTATCTCTTCATTCAGGATATCAGGCTTCCTCCAATCCTAAGATTATTCCTCCATTTCCCTCATGAGGAAATTCACAGTTACCAATCGTGGATAAAAACACAATTTTCTTTTATTTGCCAACTTACATTAAAATAAGGGTGAAGCAGCTCCTCCTCACAGGGATACAGATACAAACAAGTTTTAGGGAAACATTAGCCACATGTTCCCACTTCCAAGATGGCCGCGATCGCACTTCCGGTCAGCGTCGATACGTCTGACGTCACGTGTTTCTGACGCGTTTCGTCACTTCCTTTGACTTTATCAGATAAAGTCAAAGGAAGTGACGAAACGCTTCAGGGACACGTGACGTCAGACGTATCGACGCTGACCGGAAGTGCGATCGCGGCCATCTTGGAAGTGGGAACATGTGGCTAATGTTTCCCTAAAACTTGTTTGTATCTGTATCCCTGTGAGGAGGAGCTGCTTCACCCTTATTTTAATGTAAGTTGGCAAATAAAAGAAAATTGTGTTTTTATCCACGATTGGTAACTGTGAATTTCCTCATGAGGGAAATGGAGGAATAATCTTAGGATTGGAGGAAGCCTGATATCTGAATGAAGAGATAGCAACCCAGAGTGATGTGATGCCCTATATTTTCCTGCATAGGGTAATTATCCATCAGCACATGAGGTGGAGATTGTGGGTTTGTGTCTAAGGTGTACACTTATATACAGAGTGTGGTG